TTCGGAGGGCGCAGGAGGGCCAAGACCGAGTTTTGCGCAGGCCGCTATACTGCAGCATGGCGAATGGAGGAGGGATGCCCAGGGGGGAGGGGGCTGCCACCTTCGTCGTCGCCTCTCAACTCGACCCTTTCAACGAATTCCCTTCGGGGATCACCCGTGGAAATCGGAAAGATGCAGAGAAGATTCGCTTGGCCCCCGCGCCAAGGATGGCCCCTGCACACACCGGGAAGTGTATATACCACTTCTCTCTTGGGGTGCGCTCTGACCAGGGCGGCTCCCGGCCGTGCCGACGGGGGGAGCCCCGGGAGGCAGGGGCCGACGGCCTCGAAGCCGTCGCCCTCGGCTTCGTCGTCCTCCTCCTCCTCTTGGGAGAGGGAAAAACACACAGACAAAAGTAACCGTCGATTCCCTGGGACGATATGGGAAAATATGGGAAGTGGGGGGGGGAGACAGAAACCGAGGAAATATGGGAACATATGGGGAATCCGGCCATTTGTGTGTATTTATTTGTGTTTCCCAGGGCCCCTTTACTCCTGCTCCCCGCCGGAGCTCCGACCTGCGAGCAACCGCAGCAGCGCGACAGGCCACGACCGGAGCCCCAGGCCCCAAGCGTTGAAAGAGCGTGTTCTACCGCTGCTGGCGGAAAACCGGGGGGGGTCACTACCGGTTCGAACCCCTCCCCCCCACCCCCCCCCCCCTCCGGAAAACCGGGGGGGGTCACTACCGGTTCGAACCCCTCCCCCCCCCCCAGCTCATCATGAAAAGGGGGGGGGGGTCACTACCGGTTCGAACCCCTCCCCCCCCCCCCCCCCCCCCTCCGGATCCGGAAAACCGGGGGGGGTCACTACCGGTTCGAACCCCCCCCCCCCCCTCGAAAACCGAGTGGGGGTGCGGACAGTGGTGGGGACGGTGTTGGTGGGGACAGTGGTGAGGGGATAGCGGGACAGTGGTGGGGACAGTGGGACAGTGGGACAGTGGTGGGGACGGTAGTGGTGGGGACAGTGGTGGGGACAATGGTGGGAACAGGGGGGGACAGTGGACAGTGGTGGTGACGGTGGTGGTGGGGACAGTGGTGTGGGGACAATGGGAATGAGGTGGAAACAGTGGGACAGTGGAGGGTACAATGGTGGTGGGGACAGTGGTGAAGGCGGTGGCGAGGACGGCGGTGGGACAATGGGACAGAGGTACAGTGGGGACAGTGGTGGGGACAGTGGGGACAGTGGTGGGAACAGTGGGACAGCTCAGTGGGACAGCGGAGGAGTCAGTGGGACAGTGGGGACAGTGGGGATAGTCGGGCAGTGGTTGGGGCCGTGGAGACAGTGGGGAGAGTGGAACCGTGGTGGGAACAGTTCTGGGGACAGCGGGGACAGTGCGACAGTGGTGGGGCCACTGGTGGGGACAGTAGGGGCGGTGGTGGAACCAGTGGGGACAGCGGTGGTGAGGACAGTGGTGCTGGGAACACCAGTGGGGGATGTGATGCCGACGGTGGTGGGGACCTGGAGTCGTTTGCTGGCGGTGAGTAGGGGGGGGGGGGGGGGGGGGGGTGGGGGGGGGGGGGGGGTAGTGACCCCCCCCGGTTTTCCGGATCCGGAGGGGGGGGGGGGGGGGGGGAGGGGTTCGAACCGGTAGTGACCCCCCCCGGTTTTCGAGCGGGAGGGGGGGGGGGGAGGGGTTAGGGGAGGGGGGGGGTTTTTTGCGGGAGGGAGGGGGGGGGGGGGGGGGGGGGGGAGGGGTTCCGGCAGGGGGGGGGGGGATTTTCGGAGGGGGGGGGGGGGAGACCCCCGGGTTCCGGAGGAAAATGTTGGCAATTTTCCACAGTAAAGCGGCGGTGGATCACGCTCTCTCCAAGCGTTGGGTCGGGCGTGTCCTCCGACCTGCTGGCGGACTTTGGCCGAAGGAGGAATCAGGAAATGGTCAAGCATAGTCTCAGGAGGGAAAGAAACACACAGACACAATTAATCGTCGACTCTCCAGAAAATATGGGAATTGGGCGGGAAGACAGAAATCCAGAAAATATGGGAAAATATGGGGAATCATTTTATTTGTGTGTATTTATTTGTGTGTCCCAGGGCCCCTGCATAGTCAAACAAATCATCCCCGGACTATCTGTTGACTATTTTTGAATCTTCGTCCTGCATCGGGGGCGGCAAAGAGGGGGGGGATGCCTAGAGGGGAGTGGATATCATGGCGGGGGCCACGATATTTCCCCAGATTTTTCATCGCGCCTCTTCTTGTTTCGTGACGTCCCTCGCCCCCCTCTGGGCCGCGCACGTGCCGCCGGTCATGATCTGCACCCCCCCGCCTCCTGGACGCCCCCCTCTCTTGGGCCGCTCCCGACCGCGGAGGGACGCGCCCGAGTGGGCCCGAGCTCTCTGCGGCAGACGTGCCAAAGGCGGAGCGACCCGCGGCAGGGCCCCACGGCCCGAGGCCGGGCGGAGCAGAGATCGCCAGGCGCCGAGGAGCTGCACGGCTCAGGAGGGGAAAAAAACGCACAGGCACAATTCATCGTCGACTCCCCAGGAAATATAGGAAAATAGGGAAATATAGAAAAATAGGAAAGCCCAGAAACTATGGAAAAATATGAGAATATTCCCTACCTTGGCTCTGCCTAGAGGGTTCTTACTCTCTTAGCCTAAAGGGGCGGGCAGTGCACAGCGCCCCGGGCGGTTCCCCCAGTCCCCGCCCCGCGGTTCCCCACAGGTACGTCCCCTTAGCTTAGCGTTGCTTATCTCATCTTAGCTTAGCTTAGCTTAGCTTAGCTTATCTCATCTTAGCTTAGCTTTAGCTTAGCTTAGCTTTAGCTTAGCTTTAGCTTAGCATTCGCTTAGCGTTCGCTTAGCTTTAGCTTAGAATTAGCTTAGCTTTAGCTTAGCTTTAGCTTAGCTTCAGCTTAGCTTCAGCTTAGCTGTTGCTTAGCTTCAGCTTCGCTTTAGCTTCGCTTTAGCTTAGCTTTAACTTAGCTTTAACGTAGCTTTAGCTTAGCTTTAGCTTAGCTTTAGCTGAGCTTTAGCTGGGCTTTAGCTTAGCTGTAGCTTAGCTGTAGCTTAGTTTTAGCTTAGATTTAGCTTAGTGTTAGCTTAGCTTTAGCTTAGCTTTAGCTTAGCTTTAGCTTAGCTTTAGCTTAGCTTTAGCTTAGCTTTAGCTGAGCTTTAGCTGAGCTTTAGCTTAGCTTTAGCTTAGCTTTAGCTTACCTGCAGCTTACCTGCAGCTTACCTGCAGCTTACCTGCAGCTTAGCTTTAGCTTAGATTTAGCTTAGCTTAGCTTTAGCTTAGCTTTAGCTTAGCTTTAGCTTAGCTTTAGCTTAGCTTTAGCTTATATTTAGCTTAGCTTTAGCTTAGCTTGAGCTTAGCTTGAGCTTAGCTTGAGCTTAGCTTGAGCTTAGCTTTAGCTTAGCTTTAGTTGAGCTTTAGCTTAGCGTTAGCTTAGCTTTAGCATTCGCTTAGCTTTAGCGTATCTTTACTGTTGCTACTAATGCTGCTTTCCTAGGGGCTTCAACTTCTAGGTAGGGTCGCACTGGGATAATTTTTATTTGTGTGTATTTATTTGTGTGTCCTTGGGCCCCTTCATGCCCGGAGCTCGGAGTCCGTCGTCCGTCGTCCAACGCCATCGGCGACGACGCTCCTGCCAGGGTCGGGCCGAACGAACGGGGGGGATAGGGAAAGGGGGGGGTTCGAAATCTGCTGCATGCAGCTGGTTGCGGCCCCACCGAGGTGCCCATTCCTCGATACATGGGCGCCTCCGGCGCCGGGAGTCGCCGGGGAACTCAGCTGCGCGAGCTGATTCTCAAACCCCCCCTTTGCTATCCCCCCCCTCCGCCCGGCCCGACAGGGGCAAGGATTGGGGGGGGATGTCAAAGGAGTACAAGGCACCCATACCGCTACCCCTCCCTCGTTTTCCTCTTTTTGGGTTTCTTGGGCGATCCTCGTCGTCACCGCTGGATTCGCCTCGAAACTTTTGTCAGAGCGTACCCCAGAAGAGGTCCAGGGAGTAGCGTTATCGGTACCGTTCTGTCTCACCAGGATGGGCATACTTTGGGGGTATGCATCGGCCCCCGATCGCGCGTCGATCGCTAGGAGAGACCAGATGGCCCCTAATCCGCTCAGGAGCGTGCGGACTCACCATCGGGGGCCTATCGCCGATCTATCGGCGATGCATCGCCGATTCGAGGTCGATGTTACGTTTCCCCCCCATACCTATCGCCCCACTAGCGTCGCCCCTCATCATGGGCGACGAGGAATAACGGATCCTCAACTGCGCCGAGTCGCGTAAGCTCCCCGCGTAAGGTCGCGCGTAAACGCCCTCGGCTCCAATGTGGCGTGCCGCGCTGGCGGCCCGCGTAAGCCGGCGCGCTAAGTCGCTGCGTCATCTCGCGTAAGATCTGCGTTCGATCGTCGCTCACATATTAGCGAAGAAGAAAAGCGACATAACCATAAAGCTCCCGATCTCCGCGCGGACTTGTCGGGTCTGCGCTTGGCCGCCGTCCTCTGCGCGCGGAGCGCGCCAGGGGCTGCGCCGGAGGCGCCGCCAGGGGGGCCCCAGCGCCGACCCAAGGAGTCAGCGCGGAGTTTCGCAAGTTTCTGTGTATGGCGTGTTGTCCCTCTCCTCTCCCTCTCGCGACCGCTCCTCTTTCCTTTCCCCCTCGTGCATCCGGGCAGTTCGCGCGCGCGTGCGGACTGCCTCTGCTGCGGCGCGACGCAGCCAGACGGGGCCAGGACGAGGATCAATCTGGTCCGGAGCGTTCCGGGGCGCTCTCGGAGCGTTCCGGGAACGCTCTGAGGAGGCCGCGGTGTCGAGAGGCAGATCCTCCAGAGCGGCCAGATCCCTCAGATCCTCCAGGATCCTCTCCCGATGTTGTCCTCGTCCTGCGCGAACATGTTTCCTGCCTCCCTCCTCCGCCGCCGCCGCCGCCGAGCGCCCGCCGCTCGCGCCGCGCGACGTGCGTCGTCCAGGGCCGCGGGCGCCGCCCCTCGCCCAACCCCCCCCCCGCGCCGCCCGGCGA